GCGAATTGAGCGCGAAGAATATTTAAGCATGTCGGTATATCTATTACAGAGCCCCGAGCGCCTGAATTCAGAGGTATGAAGCGTAAAGTTGAAATATTTATACTATCTTTTCGCGGGATATGGTAGACTTTAATTAGGTTTTTGTATATTTGAAGTACTTTTTGTAATCTGAGATTTATGACTGTTAATGGAAGCAAAAATTTGTGCTTTTAGATTTCTGCAACAAGATAAATAAGAGGTTTTTTTTAGGAAAAACTTAAAACTGAGCGCTATATTCATATATACTATGATTTTTTCATGTAGTGGTAACATAATTGTGCAGGTGTTTCTCAATATTTTGTTAATCGTTAATTGTAGACTAGTGGTGGGGTGCATGGCATCGTGCCTTAAGGCAAATTGTTGGAACTTCCCGTACCGTAATTAAAAATCTTGGTACGAAACCCAAAAAAAAAAAAATACACAAAATGTGTACACATTATAAAATCTCTATATAATATCTGATAATTTGAAAGTACATATGTCCAATAAACGTTTTTGACCGCCAAATGACATTTTTTTGACTTATTTTTTTTAGAGTCTAGAAACCGCTGGATTTGAATTATTGAAATCGGTTGATCGGTGTTCCCGCAATCGTCGACGAAATGTCGTATCAGCACACACACACACACACACACACACATACCTCCATTTTTCTAAGGTATGCCAAAATATTCGGAAACTTTTGAAACGTAAAAATATATAAAAATTTTCATTTTCGATTCTTTGGCTATTACTATAACTTACCCTACGGGAAGTTAAAAATTTCTAAAAGCTGGCTTATTAAATTCGGTAAAAAAGTATCATGAGACACACTGATTATATTTATACGAAATAAAGATGGATAGATGCGGTAATTATTTATCTACCGGCTTAAGTTAAAATATTATAATTAATGGAAATAAAAGATATGGAATCGTCTGTAAAACTATTTAAATGTGCCCACATCATACAGACTGTTTATTCCGCCGAATCTTCTTTAAGTGAACCTATAAATATTTATATATGCTGCAACTAGCTCCAATATTTTGTTTCAACAAACTCAGGCATGAATTTAGAATAATATTCAAGATAATTTAAACAATTTAACAAACTAAAAAATAAATAAGATACATAAAATTTAAAATTAGTCGATAATAATAACGCAAAACGAAATTTTATGGTAGTATAATTTTATGTTGACCTGCACAGTTGTGTATATTGCGTCGTACATATGCAATGGAGACATTTCAAATATTTAATACAAAAATAACATTATAATATCGTTCGATATCCTATTGAAAAACTCCTGTTGCCACGTATTCCTGTGACAATAAGCGTCTAGCTCCATTACAATATTTGCCATAATTCGAATAACGCAAAAAAAACTTAATTTTTACAAAGGCATAAGACAAAAAAATACATGCAATTATTATTTTTTAAGTTAAATCTCAACTGACGCCTCAATAAAAATATCTAGTGGTAGAAACGCATCACTGAATATTCATCTTACCCAGAATAAACAACTTTACATAAAAATTTTCAACTTAAAGTATTTGAATATCAAAGAGTAGATTATAAAAGAAAATATAAAGGTCGACAAGCTTTGAATATGTTGCCATGTTAGTGAAATTTATGCTCGTGCTTCTGTGATTATTAAAATTGTTTAGTAAAGATCGTATATTAACTTGTATGCTAACGCAAGCAGTGTGATATATACGTGCCATTAATCACAATGTTTCAGTAGGGAGTTTTAAATCTCTAATAATAATCAAATTTGTTTTTTTTATAATACTTTGATATTATTAGGAGTTTTCTAGAGTGAATAATATTATATAAAGAAATCTTACTTATGTTCTATTTTCTAATTGATTATAAAACATTTATGTGGGCGTAGAGGCATTGAAACATTTTCATTTTCTGATCAGCAATCTGTTGTGATGATACTTTT